GAGCCCGCCCCTGGCTCAACTCAATCCTTTACCCATTTTGCTTCCCCTGCCCTGAGTTCCTGCCTCACATCCTCTTCACTTAACTATCCCACTTCCACCCCCCTCGCCTTCTCAGTGCTGTGGACCGTGGCTTAGAATGCCTCATTACTCCCTGATTGCTCAATTTTCTGTAGTCTTCTATTAAAAATAATAAAAACAAAAACTCTTCCCTGAAGTCTTTGTTCAAAGAAGTTTTCCCCCATGTTGACCCCAGAGTATTTCTATGACTTTTCCTTCTACTTTTACTTGTGCAGACATAGTATTTATATTGCCCTCATTTATTGATTTGTATACCTGCTTAGAATTTTTTGTGTATTCTTTATACATTTTAGGACTTCACACTATCTGTCCCCGACTATTCTAGCTGGAATTTTCTTTCTTTCCTTCTAGAAAGCACCTATTATAGCACCATATGAATGGTAATAGATGCCAAGTATGTAACTATCTACTGAGTAAAATACACTGTCCAATTAAGTATAAAGAAGCAGACCTGTGTGTGAGGAGGAACTTCTTCCCCTTCCTCCCACCCTGCCCCAGGGCTCCCCTGCCAGGGTTAGTTCATTAGAACCTTCATTTCCAGAGTTGCTGTCCATGTCAGTGACCTGAAACTTTATCACTTAAAATCAGCTCATCCTGCCAGATCCACCTGCCGAATTGCCAAGATGGAGGAGCAGCCATAAATAGAAAATGAAAACGCTAAGAGATAGCTACCAAAGACATCCTCTTAAGAGCTTAATATCAAATTTGGGGAGTTACAGAATCAGGAACAATCAATAGCAAGTATTTTAGTAGCGAAAACGATTTATAGTGCTTTGCAGACATAATGTGAGGGTTCACCTTGCCCTCCTCCCCATCCAAATAAAAAGAGGAACCAATGGAAGTCAGGATAGAGAGACTTTACTGAAGACTTTCAGTGCAGATCAAATTCCAGGAGAGACCTGAGAGCCCTTGGACAGAAGAAGGCAACAGAGACAAGAAGCAGCTCTAGATTCCTAAGCAACCCGGACTTGGAGGCCCAGAGCACATTCCCTCCAGTGCTGCTCTTGTTTTTTCAGTTTCTCCCAAGTTCCTGACTCTGTTAAAGCTCCTAACTACTACATGCAAGTCAGAATTCATGATTCAAACACAGAAAGGGATTTCTGAAGTTCCTTTTGAAACCTCCTCTTCTCTTTCTTCCCCTGAGCCCTTTGAACTTAAGTTTACTAGTAGCAAGTGGAACGTTCCCCAAACAGGAAAATCATCCAGTGAAACTTTGTTTTAACATCTTTCCTTTTCTACCTAGATCATTCAGTTTGAAAAGTCCCCACTGAAGGGTTAGAAAGCAGTACTGATGCCATAACAAATTTTCACATACAAAATCTTCAGAGAACTTCCTATCAATAAGAAGGAGTACAAAGAAAATCCCATCACATCTGAAGCGGCCCATCTACAGGTAGAGCAGTGGACCCAGGGTCAGAGGGGAGCAGAGGAGACCTGTATTGACTGCAGCTGCGTCTGTTTGCCTGCCTGGCACTGTGTGCATATTTTAAAATAAGAGCAGGGCCCTCAGGCACAGGCATCTCCACCACCGGATGCAGCTAGGTGCCTGCAGAAGGGGGTGCAAAACCTGGGAGGAGCCCTGTCTCTTCACAACCCTAGGCTTCATGATTTCATTCTCTGTGTTTTTTAACCTTTTCTTATTTGGGGATGTACAACATGAACAGGAAGGTGGATACAGGAAACAGAAAAAGGCCAACTGGACTCCCGTCTCTGATTTCATATTATGGCTTTACACAAACACATACAGAGGTTAATTGTCTCAACCTCGATAGTAGATTAAACCAAGAACCAATACTTCCGTTTGATATCCACTCATGACAGGATTGCTAACTGCCCAGCAGCCCAGAGAGAAGCCTGACATAAACGGACAGGAATGTCAGCCAGAGGCTCTCTGAAGTGTACGTGTGAACACAAAGGACGGTAGCAGTCTAGCTACCAAGAAACCTCAATTTAACTAGACAGGAAATCTTAAAATAGAAAAATTAAAGTTTTCCTTTGCATTTTGAGATCTTTATCTTTTGGAAAATGAAAGTATTATTGTGAAATAGAAATGCATGTATTGAAAAGTGTACAAAGCAAGTGTACAGCATAATGAACAATGTAAAGCAAACTACCACCAAGGCCATGAGGTGGAGCATTGTCAGGATCCCACAGGGCTCTCTCCACTCAAGACGGAGGAGTCCAAAACTGAGTCAGCTCTTTAAGTTGGGGGCCAATAGCATTCAAGGCTTCCCAACTTTGACCTTTTTCCTTTCTCTCTACAGTTCATCCCCTGAAAGAAGTTTGTAAAGAAATTACCTATCATATCTATGTTCACTGAACTAGGGGCCTATTTAATTTTAATGAAACAAGTATTTAAGAATCTGAAGCAGGATAAATAAAAATGACCAAGAAAATGATTTCTCATGCACTGAAAATATCACCATATTCTTGCCAAAACACTAGAAGGCGTGGGGTCTCACTTCTAGCCAGAATGCTGAGCTACACAGGTTCATCTCCCTTCATGAGGGGCATGGACCCAAACAAGTATTTGCGATTTCAGTAAAACAGCACAATTTCTGTCCAGTAAGGTTTTCCCACCTTCAAAGGCTATAATACAATAAAACAAAAAATACAAAATATGGATGACTCAAAATTTAGAAGCTTAATTAACATTCTGACCTTAACCTTAGGATGCACCATCTCTTTAGAACTGGGATTTAGGGGCACATACCGTCATAAGGAGATAAATCAGTACCCAATTCTAGACAGCAAGTGTAGGTAAAAGATCCATTTGCTTTAGAGCAAAGCTATTATCTTTATATTCCCCTTGCTGTCTAAACAGTGTCTTATCATTAAAGGCTGCTCTATAAATGTTTGCTGATTGAAGGCATTTAACATAAATAATTTCAGGAAAAGATCCCAGACCTTCAAGTTGCTTAGGAGAATGGTGAGGTGGAGTCAATGACTGGTAGGAAGCTGGACCTGGTGACCTCTAAGGACTCCATGATTGGATGACCTTTGACCTGTGGCACTGCCTTCGCTAAAAATTGGGCTTATTAGTTTTGCTGTATATTTGTGGCTCCTTAATTATCTCAAAATGTGGTGAAAATAAAGATTAGAATTTCAAAAGAAATTACTATGCATAATATTACAAGGCAGCTTGTCAGGAAAACACAATTGCTTCTAATCTTATTTTTCACTTTTGTTTCCTCCAGGTGGTGTGGAGCACAGTTTCAAGGCAAGATTCAGAAAGAGTTACAAGACCGGAAAAAGCTTTTTGAGAGAAGAGCGAAAACGGAAGCAGGGGCGCTCTCCGCTCCTGCGCCTCCCGGCGGGAGGCCATCAAGGGCAAACAGTAGGCTTGCTGGCTTCTTGCATAGCGCCACCTAGTGGTTAGTGGCGAAGGCTGTGAAATTGTTTTTATTTTACCAGCGGTTGGAAAACTGGGAAGTTCAAAGTGTAAACAGATTTGACAAGTCGTTACTCATATTTATGGGGGAGTGTAAATGCCAGCTGACAAGTCATTCGGATAGATTTCATTTCAAAGAGTATGTCTGCTATTAATAGTGTCTGTATCTTCACCCCTTCACAGAAGTTAGCTGATGAGTATTCCTGAGGGGGTAGTTAGGAAGCACCAGCCCGGCCCACACCTGGCCACTGCTATCCCAGGAGTCAATAATGAGTCAAATCCTGACTGTGTTCATGGGAGTTCTGGAAAGGAAGCTGGAGGGAAGCTTTCTGACCGGCATGCTATTATTTTTGCTTAAAGGAGCATGTTTGAAAAAAGTTGAGGACCTGGTTTCAACTCTTCCTCTAAGTTAAGAAGAAGCAAAGATTGTAGACTGTGCCTTTTTTCTAAGCCATGCTTTTCAGTCCTCTTGTCTTGCCAATGGGTTTCAGCCCCAGGCAAGTTCACTATGGATTCAGCATGACCAAAGAAATGACAGTAGAACGTTCTTGGGGCGAAAGAGTTTATTATCCGGCTTATTCTCCGGCGGTAGGTCGAGCACTAGCATCTCTGCCTCTGCCCAGAGCACTGGGCCGAGCTCTCTCTATATATAGTGCAATAATAGCTTATTGCCTATGGGTGTGGAAGCAGTAGCTTAGCAACAGGCCGGTTACATCATCAAGTAGTTTAAATTCAGTGAGGATTCTGGCCATAGGAACCCCAACTTTGCCACACCTCTCCATGTTGCTAAAAATCAGACCTGGCAGCCACTGTCATTTAGCACGCAAAGGCCCATGTTAGACTCAGGTGTCAATGATTTCAAGAGGGTTGTGGGAAGAAAGGAAGTTATGAACAATGATATAGAAGATTCTTCCCCTCCTTTCTTAAAAGAATACCTGCAGCTGTTTCCAGACATACCCTCAGGAATACAAAACCCTTGAGAGGAGAGTTGTGAGAAAATCAAGTCACTGCCCAGTCAAAGGTAGTAGCCCCCATGTAAATCATGGCAGCTTGATCCAATTAGATTCCATTTGGCAAAATGGCAAACACCAGGAAGTTCTGTTCTTTGGCCCTATTTTCCTGCTTGCTGGCATGAAAACTGAATGCTTAAACAGAAGTTCACTGTAAGTAAGCGAAGACTATGTTGGTACCACAGTGGTGGACCTGTTCTAAGCTGGTTAGGGGAGAGGTGAGGTGCAGTCAACGACTGGTAGGAAGTTGGACCTGGTGACCACTGAGGACCCCATGATTGGATGACCTGTGATTTGCCACATTCCCTTCACTTGGAATCATACATGAATAGAAATAATCTTCCCATTAATTCTAGGTAAACCGGGGTTATCATGAATTAATGATAACATATGTCTTTAAAAATGGAAGAATGAAAAGAGGCAGGCAGAGGAAATGAAATGTCTAAGATTTGACATTATGGAAACACACACACACACACACACACACAGTACATGTACATATGTACTGATCCTTTGTAATTAAATTGCAAAATAAACAACCACTTTCCTTCTCTTGGACTTAGTTGGATAGACCTTTATCCTTCTTAAAGTTCAAAATATTAGTAGTGCAGCCCTGGCAGTATTTAGAAAATACCAACTGGAAAACCCCAGCAGGGCTGTAGAAGCATCAGACCCAGGGCTGTCTGTGGGTTTCCAAGTACCTGTTTTGGTCAAAGGGATTGAGAAGAGCTGCTGAAGAAGCTTGTTCTCTGATGTTCTCAGGACTACAACCACATCAGCAGGGAGAGTATCTCTGTTTTTCTCAAGAACCCCAGAAGCATCATATAATACCTGCAACATGAATAGAAAATAGCAAGTTAGTAAGTACTGTCCATTGTTGGCAACACTGCAAGTTGTCTGAAGTCAGTCATTAATCGATCTCTGTGTAGAATTCATCTTGACACAGCCATGCTTTTAAATCCAGTCCAGTAGATAAGAGAGAAAAGTGTAATTTTGACAGGCCAATTTATCTTAACTTCTTGTTCAGTTGTTCTTTGAGGAAAAGAATAAAATATCCAGAGACACATTACATTAGAATAATTATGGAAATACATTGGGCACTCATTTTATGGGAGGCATCCATCCTCTGAGATAAGCATTGTTATTATCTCCATTTTACTTGTGGGCAAACAGAGACTTAGGGAGAGGCTGAATAATATGCCCATGGCCACACATTTCACAAGCGGTGGGCAGGCATCGAAGCACAGGCAGTCTGGCTGCATGCTCATAACCATCATATTCCTGCTGTTTCTTGAGGTACTCATGGCACCTGAGTGATTGCTCAGGGATGCTAAGTCATTTCAGTTCTCAGAAGAGAGGGAATATAGGCCAGAGAAATTTTAAGGAACACTCCAGAGAAATAAGCATCAAATGGCAACAACTGAGGAAAGGACACAGAGCCCAAAAAAGAAAAGGATTATTTTTTCCTTTAAAATCAAGAGAGGATAAGAGGGAGGAAGAGGGAAGAAGAGGGATGGGTAGGAAATAGGTGTAAAAGGACAGAGAGATGGAAAGAGAGGTGCGAGGAAGAGGACAGGAATGGAAGGCAAAAAAGAAGAGTGGGGGCAGGGATTTCAATTATGGAAGGATTATTATGTGGCCAGATATCACTGCTAAGCTGTGGGGGAAATTGAAGTTCCTATGGCCAGGATCCTCACCTGACCCTAAACCACTTGATGATGTAACTGGCCTGCTGTTAGGCTACTGCTTCCACACCCTAGGCAATAAGCTATTATTGACTGAGTAACTATATAAAGAGCCCTGCCCAGTGCTCTGGGTGGGGGCAGAGACAGAGGAGGATTATGGACCTGCAGACTGCTGGATGCAGACAGAATTCTAGCTCTCGACCTATCGCTGGGAGAACAAGCTGGATAACAAACCCTTTCACCCCAAAACATTCCATTGTCATTCTTCTGTCTCACTGAATCCATAGGGACCTCGCCCAAGGCTAAAACCCATTGGCAAGACATAAGGTAAATGCAGTATTAAAGGGGAAAGACTGGATTGCAATTTTAACAAAGACCCAAAATGGTTGTCATACTATGTAGAGAGAAAAACAGTCTCCTTTACTTGTATCAGAATTGCTTTTCAACCAACCTCCATTCAGGCAAAATTAATTTCAGTGTCAAGATACAAATGTGAAAAACAATTCTGATAAATATCAGATCAACAAAATTGTCCACAATGTTGAGCCCTTATCCAATTTTTGGATCCAGGGCCTCATCGTACCCCACCAGAACCAATCAACCATAATTCAAATGGCTCCTTTGAGAGTAACTCTAGCAATGGATTGTTGGCTATGGGTCTAGAGAATTTCCTGAGTTAGTCACTAATCTGCTTCAGGAACTTGAAATGAGACTGAAGTGCAAATTATGAAAAGTGGAAATTTCAGTTAATGTTGTAAAAGCTTAACATCTGGATGATGAAAATGAATTTTTTTTTCTGCTTTTTTATCAACACATTTTTGGTGTCCGGTAGACATACACTTGAAGTGCTGAAATCTAAGCCCCACTGTGAAATTAGCCCTTCTCCATTACCTCCAAATGACTTCAGAAGGTGAACATTCACCACTAACTGTTGCAAAAGCTGTGATACGTTTTCTCTCCGGAAAGCTGTCACTTTTAAGCCAAAGCCCAGGTGAGAAGCAGACGGCAGCTCTGTGGGCCACTCCAGCGAGGAACTGCTTCTGTGCCGCGGGCCACTTTCTGTGTACCGCACCACTGAGAAGGTTTGGTTATGATTAGGTGTTTAGACAAATTAAAAGGAGAGAGAAATCTGCAAGCAGTTTCGTGAGGAGCACAGACCGGGTGATGAGCACACTGCCCTTGTGGAGTCCGGGCCCTGCCCCGTGCCTGCCTCACCTGTCCCGCCGAGTGCTGAATTCCGAAGCACAGCTCCTCTCCTTTGGGTCTCCACAAGTATTTGCATCGTAGATTATCCTCGAATTTATCTGTGTGGATTTTCATGTTTAAAAGTTACAATGTGAATTATTGGCTCCTTCAAACGTAAATGTGCTTCTTGAGCTGTGAGTGACCCCAGAATAAGGGATTTTAGGGCAGCCTAATATTATTGTATGTACACTGATGGAGAAAGATTTCCCATAAGATGGGTTTACAAACCGGTCCTTTAGTGGTTTTGTGCCGTCTTTGGTGTCAGGCTGTGCCCTAAGATCTCCTGTTCTGCTCTGAGAACACCTTGCATGGACACTGATGACCTCATAAGTCTTAAATAAATTAATAGTAATATTTATTAAGGCAATAATAGCCACAGAAGGCAAATGACCCAGGTTTAAGCTCATTGAGGTGACTTGTAACAATCTTATACGTAAAAGGAAACTGCTGAGAGTGCTAATTTCAACTCCTAGAAGTGAATCTCTCCCACGAACCGATTTTCCATCTGGGGAAAAGGCTTTCTGTTTCTCCCCCAATAAATAATTTTTGCTATCGTTGTGACAGAGAGCCAACTGTGTGTGAGGCACCATGCTAAGCACTAAAGTGACGCAAAGATGCGGGCTCTGTTGCCCAAGTGCCTCCTGGTCTTAGTGAGGGACAGGATCATGCGCAACACTGAAGATTCAAGGAGGAACTGGGGGTTGTGAAGAATAGTAGAGTATAGAGGGCCTTTAATGGCAGGAGGAACGTCTTATTGTCATCTTATGGATAACAGTAACCTAACAAAAAGGGCTTTAGAAAGACTAAGTTATTTGGGTATCGAAGAGGGTAGGGATGGTCCTGGAAGCCAGGAAGCCAGAAAAGGCTTCTGCACAACCTTGGACGAGAGGTGGATGCGGTCCACGCAAAAATAGGGGAGAAGGGCACAAGAAGGAGGGGAAGCAAGTGCTGGTTATGGAAAATGAGGAAGAAGAAGACTTAGACATGATATCAACATAGGGTAATGGTATTAACATCAGCATAAACAGGAAAGCGAGGAGGATTTGGTGGTGACTTGCTTTAGGACACAAATTGCTGAAGGTTTCAATTGGTTAAAAATAAGCTCTAAACTTTCAGAGCCCACCCGGTGGCTAAAATATATTGGAAAGATGGATTTCAGCCATGCTCATTTGATGACATGAGCTAAGTTCTCTCTTGAGCATTTTCCAAAAGATACCTACCAACCAGGGTCTGATCACTTGCTTGGGGGAATCGACTTTCCTCATCCAAAAGTGCAAGTAGTCCCAGGGGTTTCTGGAGGAACATGTCCAGGAGCGGCCGATTGTCCTTGTATTCGACAGGTGCAGTGTCGATGCCCTCATTCTGATATTCCATCTGGAGGGAAATTGATTGTTAATCGCTCTAGTCCCTCACTGGCCTAGGTGCCACCAGGCTGCTTTGTCGTGCATGCCTTTGTCTTTCAACATGGACCACATGTGGGAAACAGGGTGTGATCTATGAGTGCAGTAAAGCACTCCTATGTATTTAACACTGTTGAAGCTTTGGGTTTAAAGGTGTGATCTATGAGTGCAGTAAAGCACTCCTATGTATTTAACACTGTTGAAGCTTTGGGTTTAAAGCCAAACCTACAGGGAGCCTGTGGGAGGCAGCCTAAGCCAGCCAAAGGGATGGCTCTCTGTCCCCAAGCACCAACTTGGTCACTTATAATTTACAAACTGATATGAAAAGGAAGGGAAGCTGAAAAAAAATTTACTTTTGAGACAGACATGGTTTAAACCAGGAGGAAAGCAGACTTCTATCTTCTGCAAAAGAATCATTGCAAACTGGAAAATTAGAAAAACTTCAGACTTCCCAGGGAAATAACTGACAGTTGGAGGCCTTTTGTGCTGGATGGGTGGAGAGAGGAGTGCAATACTGGATTAATCTAGCTCTGCTGATAAAACCAATGCTGATATTTTTACTCCATGTCTTTGTGTTTGTCTCATCACAGTATAGTTTGTGTGTCTTTACTCCTGCATTAAAACAAAGGGCTTAGAATATTTTGTTATTGAGCTACTCATATAGGAAAGGCTCTTGGGGTTGAGGTGGAAAGGAAGGTCCCTACACTTTAGCTTCATACTCTGCTTTACTTACCATTAAACTCGTAGGGGAAAGAATTTCATTTCATGAAAACCAAGAACGTATCTTACTTACTCCTCCCTGAAACACCCCTCCAGTTACTGTGGGATCTAGTGTGCAGGAGATGTGGGATGGAGATGGCCATTTTGGGGCTCCTGAATTCAAGATTATCCTGTGTCATTTTGGACACAATCATAGTTACTTTTAGCTAAATAAAGTAGAAAAGAGCCAGGATTTGGAGCAATATGTATATAACAATGTGGAAACAACTTTTAAATAATGGGCCTGTCACCAGCTCCACTTAAAAGGTACCTCTCCACAGAAATGAAGACCTCTTTTTAAGGCCAAATTTAGACTATTTATTTTAACAGGACTGCCTCACCAGAGGTTTTTCCATCCTTTTGTTTTTTGCTTTTAACTCTTTTACCTGTTAGCCTTATAGTATTTCTGCTTAAAACTGTAAGCAGCTCAGAGACACCTTCCCACCAAGTTTAGTTACTTCAGAATTCGCTCTTACCTGCTCTAGAGCAAAAACATGCTGATTGAAATAGTACTGGATTTGCTCATTGGCGATGTTTATGCAGAGCTGCTCAAACGAATTTCTCTCGAAGTTCTCGAATCCAAAAATATCCAAGATCCCCACATTCATACCATCACCTGCACTACTGCATGAGAGAGAAGAAAAAACCCTTTTTGTTTAGGGGAGGAAACATCCATCTCAGGATGATGAAAATGCATGTGCACATTTGCCATCATATGTTCCCACTCATGGAAAGCACTGTCCTGCAATCACTAAGGGAAGGGACAGTCTGTGTCTTAAACCATTCATTCTTTTAGTCTCCCAACAGTATCTCCAACTTCTTTTTTTTTTTAAGCAGCAGAATACTTTAAAATCTTACTCAGAAGCTCTAAATATAGAGCCTAAAGAGGAACCAGTCTGTTTGAAGGAGCTGGATCTGTTGCTCATTCATTCTTCCACCTTTAAAACTTTACATAAATAGTCTCAGTTGATTCTAAAAACAACACTAAGGGGAGGATATTGTTATCCTCATTTTATAGATGAGAAAACTGCTACTAAGAACAGGGAGCTGATTAAGCTATAGAGTTTGCCCAGCTGCCAGCTAAGCCTGCTCTCTCACATAGTGCACTGTAACAGCTGCCAACCATGCTCCTCTGTTCTTCTGGATTCCATTTTCCCTGTAAAGGGAAAGGTCTGAGAAGTTCACTAAAGGAAACCCAAGAGAGGACCAAACACTTCCTCTGCAAACTGTAAGAGACACTGGAGTCCAAGACAGTTCTCATGAGGCCTCTGCTCCCTGGGAAACTTGCCATATGTTTCTGTCTGGCTGCAGGAGTGTATTGATGTGATTTACAATCCAGCTGAAGAGCCTCCCATACAGGGCTTTGGACATGGCATCTCGGACATCTGCCGCCCTGTCGACAGTGTTGGCGCGGATGATGGTCTCACCCCGAGTGACCACACAGTGTGAGATGAGGGCCTCCTGGAACTCCTTAGGGCTGATGCAGAGAACAGAGGCAGCTGAGACAAAGGATAAGGATGACATCAGAGAATGCAGTCATTCACCCAGCCAGCCAGCCATTCATTCATCCAACACTTATTTAACATCTACTATGTGCCAGGCTCTACGTAGGTACTTCAAAGTCAAAATAAACAAGCCAGATTCCTAACTCTAAGAAACATCCAGACTGGCACAATATCTCCTAAACTGTTTTGAAAGCTTTTCACAGGTGTTTGATGAAAGAAGTGGGAGGAGGTGGTCTATGGTCAAATAAGTTGGAGAAATAGCTGGGGAATATATTCTCCTCTTAGACAGTCACAGAGCAAATGAGTTTATTAAAAGCAGTTAAAGCACTGCAGTTTGACACAGAATACATTAACTTTATTTAAATCAATTTTTTTCTAAGAGGATTCTCATTCCTCATGCCACCATTACTACCTGTGAATTTTTAAAAATAAATAGGTGCCTGCTTTCTTCTCTGGAGATGCTGATTCTATGGACTCAGAGACAATTTCAGCCTCTTGTATTTTTCCAAAAATATGTAGAAGATTTTCAAAAGTAGCCAGTGTTGAGAACCAGTGCCCGAAATTACCTGTCAGGGAATTCTTTTCTGCAGAACACTTATCTGCAGCTCACAGGAGGAGCACTGGTGCTCTACAAGGCATCCCTGGGGAAATACTGGTCAGTGAGGACACCCAGAGCTGGTAGAAGGACCAACAACAACTGCACCGTATTTTACAGTCCTCAAAAACTATAAAAATAAAAAAAACACATACTTTGACAACACAGTGCACAGACATCAAATAATTACCATTTTCTAAAGCTTCAGCACTGGGCACCTCACTTTTATCAGTTTGATGTTGAGAGGAGATAGCTGCAAACTCAATGTTTCCAATGTTCAAAATCCCAGCCAGGATTCTGTACACTGAGTACACCTCCTGGAAAGGAAATCAAGGACCACATTTGGCTACTGCCAGTAAAACCAAAGAACTATTCATACTGTGGTGGAGACCACTGGTTGTCTGCAGAGTTCATCCTCCCCCTTTGCCTGGGCTCACAAACAGGTTTCCCAATCTCCCCTGTAGTTTGGGGTGGCCATGTAATGAGAGACTGTTAACAAGAGTAAGCAGAAGATGTGGACTACTGGGCCCAGCCTCACAGGAGTGAGCACACCTCCTCTGTGCTTTCTTTTCTATTGCTGATGACTGGAACTCCTGGCAACCCAGCCTCAACCCAGCCTCAGGTTAGGATAATCTGAAGCCAAGAATTGCATGGAACAGAGCTGTTCTGCAGTCTGAAGTCTTGCCTTGGAATGCTTACATTAGAAAGAACTGATCTTCTTTGTTCTTTAAGCCACTTTTAGCTAAGCCCCAACTAATACCAGCTCCCAAATTCAGGTATGTTTCTTTCTTCAAAACAAGAGAGGAGATGTGTCTGTAATCTCTTTCAAATATAACCTTTATGAAAGAGTTGGCAGGACATTCATTGATGGTTCACTAGAATATTTTGAAGTTAAGTGATAAGAGTACATACTAATGAATGAGATCAGGAAATATTTAGATAGTTTCACTAGAAATCATCTGCAGCCGTTATATAATAAGAAATATGTGGTCTTCATACCAATTTCTGGCAGAATAGCTTTTAAAGCTGCTGTAATTATCTGAAGGGTAGGGGCGGAAGGAGTGCCCTTTATTACTCAGATAAGCCCCTTTCACCATACCTGAGTCTGTGCCAGTGAAGTGAGTCTTGGAGGATGGGGGCTGGTCGCAGAGGAACAAACATGTGATTAAAGGGTTGGAACCTTTAGCTGGACCCTGGACCTCCAGGGAGGGGAGAAGGGCTGGAGAGTGAGTCAATCACCAGTGGGCAATGATTTAATTAATCAGTCATGCCTATGATTGGAACATCCATTAAAGGCCCTAACTGACAAGGTACAGGGCACTTTCAGGTTGGTGAACACATTAGGGTGATAGAGAGGAGGTGGGCTCCCCTCTCCCAATACCTTTCCTTATACATCTCTGCCATTTGGTTATTCCTGAGTTGTATCCTCTACAATAAACCAGTAATAATAAGTAAACTGTTTTTTTGAGTTCTGTGAGTCCTATCAAATTATTGAAACCAAGTTTGGAGTCATGGAACCCCCAATTTATAACCAGTTCAGAAAAAATAGGAGAACCCAAGGACTTGCAGTTGGTGTCTGAAGTGGGGACAGTCTTGTGGGATGGAGTCCCTACCTTGCATGGTCTGATGCTAACTCTATGTCAGAATCAATTCAGATTGCTAGAGAATTCGTTAGTGTATGGGACAAAAACTCTGCACATTTGGTGTCAGAAGTGTTATGAGTAAAAACAGTTGAGGTGTTCTAAGTCCTATTTTTATATTGAAAGTTGACTATGTAAATAGCATTAATAGTAAAAAAAACCAAGTACATTTATTTATTTAAACATATGCATTTCCTATAGGTGATAAAATGAAATATAGCCAGGAAATTTCTGCATCTTACACATCCAGATAGAGAAAAATACTTACACAAAAAAATACTCAGGTAGGGAACTTGATTTAGCGCACACATAGGAGCAAGCTAATAGGAGCTGTCATTGCATCATTGATAAAGCATTGACCCCAAATCAAGCCTTCCTGTAAACATTATTCAGTATGCCAAAAACCTGAACATAGACTGTAATAGTGACATCTGCTGGATACCTGATAATGCTACAAAGACAAATGTTGATTTTAACTGGAGCATCTATAGATACATATTCTTCAAACTTCTATATATCAAAGGCAAAATGTCTTGTTTCTGATGTCAAGAATCAGTCTTTTAATCACACATTTTAAGAGTGACTAAGGGGAGCATCTGCCAAATGGGTTTTCTGGGACTGGTCTGGCAGCAGCTCATCACCCTGATCAGTACAGCGTGAGCATGCAGTGAGTGAGGGACTCCCAAGAGGCGGACCCGAGGGGGCAAACAGGCTCTAGAGCAGTGAGTTCTGTGTCCAGTGTTTTTATATCCAGTTATTGCAAAAGGTTATCTAAAATTCTCAGTACTCTGAGAAAAAAATTGTATTTCTTCTAATTAATATACACATACAAAACACACACATCATGTGTGGCTGTGCAAGTCATGAAACCTCCTAAAATAAGGCTCCTAGGCATTTCACCACTGAGGTGATCATCCCCAAAGGAAATGGCGGTTCTCACCTCATCATTTCTCTGGCAATATCCTCTTCAGCACAGAGCTTAGACATTTTCTCTTTTAAAGGAGAAAACTACCCATGATATTCAATGAAAACTTTGGGGTCAAACACTGTGCGAATGACTGACGTTAATGGTAGGTTGGTCTCCTTCCTTGGCTCAGAGCTAGTAAGGCAGGGCAGGGTCATGGGACAAGCATCATGATAAACTTTTCCTGCCTATGACCAGGAGGGACTCCATCTTAATGCTAAGATTCCATTTTAAAAAGCAGAGAGTTGAGAATTAAGATTTCTAACATTCTCTGGTAATCAGACAGTAACTCAACAGCCTACCTTAGTCTTAAGTGATATGTCCCCACTGCTTGAGGGTAGCCACTGTCTTGGAGAGGAACAGGGTAAATAAATCTTTTGTGTTGGGTTTATTTAGCAGAATTAGCCAGAGGACTGATCATAGAGGAGAGGAGACATGGTGTCTCACCAGAGATAATCATCTTGAGACCATGTCAGGCCTATGCCCAACAACCTCCCCTCTGCCCTTTGCCCCATTTGAGAGCCTTAAAAGACAGAATCCCCAAACTTTCAGTGGACTCTCAGAGGATGCTCACACTTTCCCTTTTTTAAGTGCATACTTTCAAATGAAGCTTTCTCACTGCTCAAATTATTGCGGTTTGTCTCTTTGCTATTTCGTTTTATTTCCAAGTCTTCACTCTGTCTCCACTTTACTCCTAATACCTACAAAGGGGCTGCTAAGAGCTGAGATTTGGGCCTGCACGTTTCTGCTGCCTGGGTGACATGGACGGAAATGCATCTGTGCGATCTGCTCTTAGAAGCCTGCTTGAAAATCTCCTTTCTTTGGCAAGTTCTCAGAACATAATCCCACTCCATCCGGTGCTCTGTGGCTCCCTCAAATCCTGGAGTGGTAGGGGGCTAATCCCCATGCTGTGCAGATCCAAGCGGACACAGGACGCCAGCTGACCCTGGCTTCAGTAGTTGGCAAGGGATCTGCCCTAGGCCAAGAACTTTCCCTCTTTCCCTTGCACTTTCCTGTTCTCTGCTGCCTGCAAGGCAGCTGCCATTTCCCTGTTGCTCTTGCATTACTGAATGCCTTCCTTACCAACACTCATTTGACCTGTTCAAGAATTCTTTCTCACCCAGAGTCAAGAACCCTCCCCTGTCCAGACTGAGGTTTCTCCTCATGCTTCACCTAGTGAGCAGGGAGAGACCTCCCCAGACGCAGCTGCCCAGCAACACTGGGAACTCTAGAAAGGGTGTCCAATGCTTACCTCATTATGCAGATATTAGCCTTAGGGAGCTCCCTGTACTACATTTCCAGGCTACTCCACTTAAGCCACTTAAGTCCTACCCGTGGGCTGATGAGTTCTTCCTCTCTGGTCTCAGAACCTGCATCCATCCCTGTGTTCAAGTCAAAACATTATCCATATATAACATGGTAGGGAACAATCAGTAGTATGTCCACCTGTGGGATAATACCTCCCCCACCCTGTACTTCTTAATCAAATATCTCTCCTTTTCTCCCCACAACCAGCCTGGGAAGGATTTTTCACCTTCTCCCCTTGCTCATTTTCTCTTGCCTCACTTCTAGTTATGGGGCCTTTCCTGGCATCCCTGCCTTTGCTATAGAATCTTGCGGTGATGCTCTATCATCTTTTCATTTTTTACCAGTTTCCAACTTTCTACATGATACATTGGAATAACCTTACTCCAGACAGGAAATACTATCAGCAAGACTAACAACTCCTCCAGCTGGTTTCCCCAGTTCATTGTTGGGATATATGGTCTTCTCTTTGGCTCAAAGACACTTCTCTCACTGATCTAGGTCTTCTCTATTAAGTTGAGGCTAAGTAGAATATTGAGAAGAATCCTGTTTTTTTGTTTTTTCTGTTAGCCTGGAGCTGATTTAAGGAAATCACCCCTGGCCTGGTTCACAGGCATCTCATGGTAGATGTTTCTCTGGTACCCTCCTAGGAATTTACTTGCCCTCCCAGTTTCTCTTTACTTCATTTCTTTTTTATAAGTCTCTAGTTTTTCACCACTTCTGCCCTAAGCACCGCCGGCTGAAGGGCCTTCTCCCTTACAGGTTCTATTACAGTGCCTTTACTCCATTTCCTTTTCAGAGGCTCACAACGTTTGTATTTTAAAAGTCAATGGTTGGTTTACATATAAATCAAGTATAAAAATCAAATGAATAATCATAATTGACCTGATTGTTTATAGTTCATGATGTGTGATCAAAACCGAAAGTTTCTGTGATGACTGCCCTTGCACTGTTCACCATGTAAGAACTTATTCACTACGTAAGACCTTGTTCACCATGTAAGAACTTGTTCGTTATGCTTCAGAAGATTGGAGACTGTTGAGAATTAGGCTTGGGGTTGATTAATGATTGTGCATTGAGTCCCCTATACAGAATTTTATTGTTGTTAACAACCATATGATCAATAAATATGAGAGATGCCCTCTCAAAAAAAAAAAAGCCAATGGTTGGTTAAAAAAAACTTTTTTTGCATATCAATCATACAACAATACAGTGGTCTTTAAAAAGTTAATGGTTAAGTTCTATTGCATATCATTCAGACATTGAAACTCATCAATACCCCCAATTTATATTTTAACATATGCCCTTCAGTCACTCTTCATCAGTACTCTCCCAAATTCATAATTGATTTGGAAGAAAGGGAAAAAAATTTGCCCTAATCTCAAAGCCTTCTCCCTAACATCTTTATCAAGGATCTGAAGTAAATGTCCAATCTTTACCATCACATAGATAATATGGTAAAAAAGTTTTCATGTCGTATTAAATATAAACAAACCTTAAACTCAATTAATCTAATATGTTACTGTAATTCGTATACCAGCAAGACAAGCATAATATTAAAGAAAAACAGTATGGTTGACTCCAAAAATAGCAGTTGAAAAGCACTGATCTTCATAATGGTGTTCCAGATACAATCTCCCTAAACCCTACAGGAAGTATCATTGTTAGTAAGGCTCCCTCCACCAGGGAAATTCCTTCACCATAAACTCAGGGTCGAAGTG